TCTTAGGCCTCAGTAGTTACATTTCTTCTATTACCAGAGGCTGGAAGCCAAGGATTGTTATGTCAAACGTAAACAACACTGCAAATGTTGAGCATAAGTACTGGAGACAAATTTAACATACGGACTTTGTAAAGCTGTATGGGATTAATCTAGGCTAGGATCCTGAATCTTCAGTGATCAGCACAAGCTGATTCAAAGGATAAAACCAGCAGCAGGTACTTGTCTGAAACGGTGTCTTCAAGGAAAGTTTTTCTTTTTAGGCACAGTAGTTAGAGATTGCAGCAGTGCTTCAGATGGTGTTTAAAGAGTCTGTCGCCTCTTTCCAAGAACTGAATATTTTGAGCATCTGCTAGGTATCAGAAGTGATTCAGATCAGGTCTCTAAGGAGGAAAAGTAACAAGGGTTTGTAAATATGATCAAATCCTACAATAATAACTGAACATCAAGGCTAGCTTTAATGAGAAAAACAGAAGGTGTTAAAATGAGCTAGACAACTTTTAGGCCTATTTAGTCTCTCTGCCAAATGAACAGCTTTAATACACAAGCTTTTTGCATACTCATGCAGTTAACTCAGTATGTTTTATAATGCTTACCTTGTTAGTGAAAGATAAGAATTTCATTGAAATACAACAACTTCAGTGAAAATATCTGTTATTTCCTGATTGCTTAACAATTCTGATTTCTTCTGATTTTCAATCCCATTACAAGAATTACAAGTGAGGAAGGACTGCTTCAGAAGTTGTTTGTCTTCAGTGGCACATTTGTTTTTCATCTGAGTGTTGACTTAAATTGCATTTCATCCCTCATTTATATTTCTCATCTACATGATAACATTGTGCACGCTGATGCAGTTTCTCTTGGTATCATCCAACATGACTCTTTCTGACTTCATTTGACACTGTATTAAGGTAGACCACATTCTTGTTAACATTAATAAGCTCCAAAGTGGTTGAGTGCTGCTTTGAGTGAAGATACATGAAGGGAGGGAAATGTAATGACTGTACACACTGTGAAGCAAAAAGGCTGTCTAAATGGACTAAAATCAACTTAGAGGATAAAATGATTTGACTAACATATAGCTGAGATTAACTTGTCTGATTCAGCCAACAGCTTGCTTAAAGTATCATATTATTACCATATCACTAAGACCTACATCGTAAAGGGTTCTCTGAGTCTGATAGCTCTGGTAGCAGTCATGCCTGTAAAACCTAATTTTATTCCTGGGTAGGTACTTAGTCTAATTTATTTCACTACCTTATGCTTATTGCAGAGAATATATTTGGACATAAGATTTGTTCTCAAAGTCTTTTGAAATGAAAAAAAAACCCCAAGCTACCAGAATGTCCTCACAAGGAGAGTGGCCAGTTCAGAGAATTGTTCTCAATGAAACTGGGTCTGAAATCACGCTAAGATTTTCTCTGTATTTATGGATTGCATAACTCATAGTGTCAGCTGCTGGATGGCACAATATACTTCCAATCACAACAAACATTCACACAAACACTATATTACGTATGAAGGAAAAAATCATGACAATGATTTTATTATGGTTAATGGAGCCATAGAGCTCAACATGGTGGTACAGCATGTCTGCAAAGAGGGTTTTGGTTTTTTTTAACTTTACTTGAGAGATGATTGAAATGAAAATACTTTAAATCTAATGCAGGATTAAAATAACAGTTGGGTGTTCTTCAGTCTTTATTTTGTACTTCCTTTGCTAACATACAAAAACATCACTGTCTTTATATTTCCAAAGATATTTTTCTTATTATATCATTACTTCATTATGTCTTCTAGCAAGTAACATCATTGGCAGTTGATCTGTGTATGTACGTGGACAATTTTTTCCGATATTTTTACTTAAAAGTTTTGATAGGGTGAAGCATAAATGTAGCAAGGTTCTCCATTCTGTGTGCCAAGAACCTTCTTTCTTTGGAAAGTTGGAACACTCATTTTCTAAGAATTCTGTGGAGAGACAGAACTTTTTCACAACTCGGATTTTTGAAATTGAATTGGATGCAACCAAGACTTTCAGAAAAGCCTGATCTCTTAGCAAACATAGGAGATACTGAAAACATGAGATACAGGAAATTTTGTGTATCCTCGAGGGTGGGCAAATAAGTCAAGACAAGTCTATAAGAAATATGTTGAGCCACTTTGTGGGGCACATTGACTGTACTTGCTGTGCATTTTACATGACTTCTTGTATTGTGTATAAAGTGCAAATATTAGAAGTGCTGAGACCCTTGTAACCAGGACTAGAACTTCTAGAATTGCTGTGGTAGTGAAGCTGAGTAAAGTGGATACACTCTGCTGACCTACTATTTTAGAACTTACTTTTTTTAGTAGACTTTCCTCTCCAAAATCTTATGTCAATAATGACAAAGCAACAGAGTAAATAAGTAGGTACTTTAGCCAGAAAGTTCAGCTACTGACCTGTGTGCTAGGGATGATTTTACATTTCCCAGCATGCATCCATTTTGAAAGTTATTGAGGGGAATTTGGACTTCTAGGCCACTGCAGAATAATCACTGAGCAGTTATTTGCTGAAGACAATCACTATTACTAAGGCCCTTACTCCACATCCTTTGAAGGCACTGAAGGATTGTTATTGATTTTTGAGTAGCATTTGTAAGGGGCCTGTGCACTTCAGAGCAACTGGACCACATCATTAGACTATCTAAGGGATTTTCCATCAAATATATTTCTGAAGGCAACACTAATAGAAGAACTCTTAACCTCTGAATCAGAAGATGGATGTATAAGATGGATGTATTAGTATTTTAAAGGAAAGAACTTCAAGAAAACAGCTGCTAAAAGACTGTTTGAAGTTATGCATCACAAGCTAATTCTTGATTTATGAAAACAGCATAGTAACAGTTTTCTAATTAATTGATCTGGTTGTTCTCAAGAGTGTTGGAGTCTTAATATTCACAGGAGTCAATGATTAGGAAAACCTATTTCTTGGCATCAAAACAAAGTGGACTCTTAGAAAAAAAGAATGTAACAGCTGCTTGGCCACACTCATTGCACCAGTGGCAGCTGGTGATGTAGCCACGTGAGTCCCATGCCAATGGACTGACTCACCCAACCTTCTCCTCTGGCATGGTCCCTCTTCTGTTGTAGCAGTATTTTAAATACTCTCAGCACTGCTCTGAGGCTCCCTGGCTCTGATAACACCGGGCACTCGGGGCTACACATGGAGGTTGAGGTTCCCAGTTCTTGAGCACTGCTGCAGCTGGGGCTGCGTGGGTGACCCTTGCTCACCACTGCTTTGCATTAGGCTTTGGATGAACACATCTGAATGTGTTGCAGAAATCCTGGCATTTTGTAATAGAATTTTAGAATCAGGTCAAATTGAGCAAACTGAGATTTAGGTGAGATTACAGTAAATTTCACCTCTAATTAATTGAGCACCAATAGCACCTCAGCCAGAGCTGACACAATTTTTTTAAAAAGAACAGATTTCCACACCCGAGTTACAAATAAAATTTTAACAGGTTAACTTGGAAACAATGGTATCTATATCTGCTAAGCAAAGACTAAAGTTTATTTACTGCAAGAAGCTAGAATTAAAATTTCTGTTAAAAAAATTTCTCTTTTAAAAAAATTAAGCACACAACTTCAACTTTGTCTTTTACCTTTGATTAGTGTTAATCTCAGGTTCTCATGCAACCTAATTTACTGTTTCCATGAATAGAAGCCAAACAAGAATGCTGTGTTTTTTTTAAAGGAAATACATATTCTCAGGGTTTTACACTCAAAATCAAGCAAAAACATGAGGAAATTAGTCTTCAGTTTTGGGACTTTCCTTTCTTACTACAATCTGGTTATCTTGACCACCATGTTAGCTAGTCAGTTTACCCAAATACCGGTCTGGTGTTGTTGTAATTGCTACTGACAAAATGCTTATGAATAACTTCTCCAAATTTGTGAAGTTTATTAACAAGTGAGAAATGTGAACTTGCGAAAGCCAACAAATTTTTAGCTTTATTATGCTGGATATGCCCTTCCAAAGGACACAGAGTTTGCCCAGAAGTTTGGCCTTAAGAGGTCATAAAGCTTTTGAAAATATTTACTTAAAACACAAAACTTGCATCTGTTTTCCTTGTAAATAAAGGATAATGTAGTGCAGAAGAAGTTTATTTAAACTATGCATACAAATATGCATGAATGCCAATTGGATTCAATTTTGCTGCCTTAATTTGAATTAACTGATGGGTCTTTTGACATAAGCTGTACTAATTGTTGCTTATTTGGGTGCAGTATATCAGTGAGCATGGCAATCAAAAGCTTATCCAGATGTTCATATTTTCTTTGATTGCCCACAGCCTTAGGTTTGAAGAAAAGTCAATCAGCAAAATTATTCTTAGCATCTGTCAAGGTACTGATCACATTACCATAATAGTCAGAAAAGCAGAATGACTCTGATTCCCCTTTCACTTACCCTGGTGTCAGCCCTCAGTAGCTCTCTGCACTCGTGGTTTGATACCATCACAAAACAGGGAAATTTTGTGAAATTAGACCAAATGCCCTTATGAATAGTTGATTTCACCACAGTGAAATCTTCATATGAATGAATTTATATTTATGTAACTTCTATAAAAGTATATTTTGTATGTTTTATAGTGATATATGTTTACAATGAGTTATTGACTGATGGGATATTTTTTTCAAACATCATATAAAAGCTTTTAAGAACTTGAAAAATTAAATGTATTGCACCTATGTGCAGGAAACCTAAGCCTACTGAAACAGTTTCTTTGGATTTGCCTTAAAACTTTTGGACTCTTGTAAGATACATCAAGATTTACAGTTACTACACAAACAATTTTTTTCAATTCTATTGTGTTTTCACAAAAGCATACAGATAAAATTCATTTGTGTGTGTTTTTTTCAGATATTATAAAAGCATCTGACAGAGAGAGTTTGCATTGATTTTCTTTTGAGATAGGATACAGCTCAAAACTGTCTTAACCTTTCTCTCCCTTTATCCCCAGGTGTTTGAAATGTGTCCATGCATTTCCTGCATAATTGGATCCTACCTCATAAAGGGTAAGATTTTTTTTTTGCAATCCTGATAGGAACAGTGGTTAACAAGGGGGAATGCATGGTTTGCACCTATGTTAACTTAAGAATTACCTGGAGTAATGGTCTGGAGTTCTCCCCTGCTCAGGAATGTTTTACCTTGCAGTCCGCACCTGGCTGCCTGGCAGCTGCATACTTCGAGCAAAAATTATAATCCCATTTTTTCTGATACCCTCAGCCTAAGACAATTTGCTGGCAAGGAGAACTGAGGGGAAAAGAGCCCAGCCTATGTCTATGTGTAGGACTGGTGCAGGTCTCTTACCTGTTGCATAGAAACATCCTGAAACTGTGAAAGTAGAAGAGTCCTTGCCATGATCCTTAAAGGTGATGGACTGTGGACAAGAAGATTTCTTATTTTCAGGTGTTTATCTTTGAAGTTTGCTGAAATATCCTTCATGTTTCATGAAGGGCAAAAGCAGACCTGTGGGCAGTAACAGCACTGTGTGCTTCTTCTTCCTATTGAGTAACAAAGTATGTACTTCTCTTTTAGACCTTTTAATGTGTGTCATGTAAAAAAAGATGAATTTAACCTGGCAGATGAAGATAATAAGGGAAAGATTCTGGAAATGTTATTATGGGTGATGAGCTCAAGCAGCAATTAATTCAGGAATGAGATTACTGAAGGAAGCTCCCAGACGCAACCACAAAACCCTGAATGTGGCTTAGCTCTCAATCAAAGCTTTCAGAAAAAGAGATTACATGAAAGAGGAGCTACTGCATCCACCACAAAGCTGCTTATTTATGACTCATGTCTCAGTGGAAGAGTTTTCAGCATAAGAACTTTTTGAATGGTGCTTCAAAACCAATGACACCCAACCCTAGCTAGTTTATAGAGTTGTTTGCATACCTGCTATTAGAAGGCTCACAGCTACTCAGGTTTTGCAGCCCTTTCTACCACAGAAATACTGAGGTAAAGAAAAAAAAACAACCCTGTTCTTCCCTTAACTCTCCAGAAAGGTTTCTCACATCGAGCTTTTCGGAAAATGATCCTCAGACCAGCGCTAACTCATGTTTTGCATGGCATGACAGGGGAGAGAACACAGATGAGTGGAGGTGGCACTGACCTGTGTACACCATGGGCAGGGAGCCAGAGCACATGCACAGCTTTGCATGTTGTGAGGAGGAGAGGGAAAGGTTTGTATTTTGTGGGTTTTGGTTTTTTGTTGGGTTGGGTTTTTTTAACCTTATTTATGCCTTTGAAGAGATAACAACTAAATGTGAATCCACTTCTTCCACACCTACAGATATAAAAATCTGTGGATGCTCTGTCTGGGACATTAATGTGATGCTTTTAAGGAGTAATGAGAATTGAGGGGAAGAAAAATGCCTGACAAAACGATTCTGGGCCGAGGCAGCCCCATGGACACAGAGAACCCATGGTTCTGTGCTGCCAGTGTCAGTCCAAACTCCCTCCTTGGTAGAGGTGGAAGCTTTGCTCAGAATAAATATCCAAAATAAGTGTAATTAAAACCATGTCTTAAAAGAGGGCTTTTGTGTATTTCATCAAATACTCAAGTGCTAGTATCACCTTGAGTGCTCTGTGCAGTTTTGGGTGCCACAATACAAGAAAAATCTAAACCTATTAAAGAGCAGCCAAAGGAGGCTACAGAGATGGTGAAGGGCCTTGAGGGGAACCTGTATGAGGAGCATTTGAGGTCACTTGGTCTGTTCAGCCTGGAGGAGACTGAGGGGAGACCTCACTGCAGTTACAACTTCCTTGTGAGGGGACGAAGAGGGACAGGCACTGATCTCTTCTCTGTGGTGACCAGTGACAGGACCTGAGGGAATGGCCTGAAGTTGTGGCAAGGGAGGTTTAGGTTGGATATTAGAGAAAGGTTCTTCACCCAGAGTGGTTGGGCACTGGAACAGGCTCTCTGGGAAAGTAGTCACAGCACCAAGTGTTGGCCAGAGTTCAGGAAGCGTTTGGAAATGCTTTCAGGCACATAGGTATGATTTTTGGGACTGTCCTGTGCAGGGCCAGGACTTCAGTGATCCTTGTGAGTCCTTTTCAACTCAGGATATTCTATGATTCCTCAGCTGTACTTGGTTATGTTCCTTTGTAATCCTCCCTTGTCACACATACTGTGTTTGTAGGCCCTGGGCTGTACCCTTTTCTACTTTTTGCAATGTTACAGCTCTGACCTCTGTGTATGTGAGTCAGCCTGCATTTATTTACAGATATTTGGGGGCACACATCAAGCTCTGTCTTCCTTCACTGTGTTTAAACAGAAAAGTAAGGAATGATATCTGGCTATGAAAAATATCCCAGTGCTGCAAGAGAGCCCTAAAGTACTTTGATGTTTTTGCTTCCTCTGAGTTATGCCTCTCATTAGCGTTAAATGTATCATTTCATACACCATCACAGCTGAGTTCCACTTGGGTAACGTGCATCTGAATTTGCTGTGTATCTATATGATGTATTTATTGTTATGCATATTAAGAGGTTATTAACTAACTGTGCTTGCATATGTTTCAGCCCTTAGTTGGCTTTCAAATTTGTGATTTCTCTTTCATCTTAGTTTTATAGTAGATTATTCTAACCTAGTCATTAAATTTAATGAGTAATCACATTGGCTAGCTGCTGTTTCTACATGGTACACTTGTGCATAGAGTCATCAGAAAGATTATGCAAAACATGAGAAATGAATGCACACATGCAAAACTGCATAATGTCTTGAAGGAAAAATTTCAGGTATTGCCAGTTCACGTGTACTGTCCATTTTTAAATTTTTTTACTGCTTTCTCCAGGAAAATTTTCTTGGAAAGATGCGATGCCAGTTCAAATGTCATTCCTCTATGCCACAAAATAATGTAGCTGCTCCACAAGAATAGAGGTCCTGCAGAGCAAGCAGTGTCAGGACTGTTTTGAAAGTGAGAGGTGAGTGTGGGAAGGGAGGGGATGGAGATCAAGGGACAGGGACATGGCTGCAGCCAGTGATGCAGGTATTAGCACTGTGTTTTCCATAGAGACATGGAATCTTTGCTGTTGGTTTTAGGTGTGTTTTTTGTAAACCAGTTTTGCTGCTGCCTCCTTACCAGGAGGCTGGTGCACCCCTGCCAATTGGCAATGAGAAGCAGACCCTGACCCCTGCTCTACACCAGCAATCACATGGGATGCTCCCAGACTGGCCATAAAGATTTCTCAGCCTCCTGCCCTATGTTGAGGGAAGCAAATTCTCCTATAATCCTTTTCCCACATATTTCCCCACTGCTTTCTTATTTCCTGCTCCCCCTCCACATTTTCCTCCTTTCTGTTGTGAGAAACTGTTTTATTGTGCCTTTATTCTTCTATTTTATTGTGCCTTTATTCCACTGTCAGTATTGTACTCAGCTCCTGTACCCCAGCACATGGACTGTCTCAGTGTGGATATGAGGGGACTTCCTCCTACCAGTCAAATATTTTCCATCAGTTTGGAGAAAAACACCTTATAATTTCAAATGGAAACATCACAGCTAAAAAAGTGGGAGAAGTTGGAAGGTGAAACATACTTTGGTCTTTTCAGAATTTAAAGTGCTGTGGAAATTTTTTAGAAATTAAAATTCCTTTTTTGGCCCTTTCTGACAGTAAACAGCTTTGATCTTAATATCTGTGCATTGAACAACTCTGCAGGCTTAGAGCAAAGTGGATATTTCTAAAATCCTTCTGAGGAATAACAAAAGGATAAGTGATCCCTATACATCCAAATCAGAAAGTTACTGAATAGCGAATGTTATGAAGATTATCTATTTATGCATTCTCCAGAGCCTGAGCCCTCACATTGTGCTGTGTTATCTTGTGAGCCAATTTGGGCAACAGGACCCCAAAGCAGAGCTACTTTCTCACCTGAGCTGCCATTGAGATGATATTCTAATAAAAAAAAAGGCACAGGCCCAAGAGACTGTATGAATAGAATATAAAACCTTACCTTTTTTTTTTTGTCTGTTAATATTTGACAGAAAGAAGCTTTTATACCAATAAAAACAACTTCATTCTAAATCCTTTCACCTCTCATTCCAATAAATTTACTTTCTGTGCTGTAATGAAGAGTACCTGCTCTGCAAGTCATGCAGCTCCATGACAGTACCCTGGCTGACTTCACTGGGCTTCCTGCGTAAGATGCTGAGTAAACTAACAAATAACAAATCAATGTTTCCATTTCAGAAACAACAATTATATTGTAATGCTGTTATTGTTGTTTGCGAGTCATATCCTGGGTTTCAACATTTAGTTAATATTTTCTGTTTAAAAATTTGGGTTTATGGCTCTGCTGTAGCTATGTTTACTTTTTATTTGTGCTGGGGAACTTCAGAGCTTGCAGGCTGGGCCTCTGCAGGGCACAACCTGATGGCCCTGCACTGCTGCAGCACAGGGGGTGCTGTGGCCATTTTCAAGATCTTTGGCTATGAGATATTTCAGATTGAGAGGAGAACTCAGTGTGAGGCTTCTGTGTTTGTTCCTGGTTAAGATGACCTTGGGACTCTGGGCAGCCTTGTTATCCCAACCCTGGAAACTCAGAAAGGTTCTTTTAATTAACCATTACATCCTTACGCCATATCCAGTTTAGGGAACTTCTGGGGCTAGAGAAGAATTAATTTGGTTTTCTTCTGGCAGTTTATTGGGTGGACTGAATTTTAATTTTCATCTGCATTTTAATCACTGTGCAAGCTGGAGTTCTTTTATGCTTCAGCAAGATTTAACTACAATGCCTTTTTGATGTTAAAAAAAATAAATTCTTAGATCATACCAGGGAGCAGAGAAGGCACTTAGATCCCAGTCCCACTGCTGAATTCTTAACAACTCCTGTCTCTTACTGAAGTTAGGTATGTTTTGATGGAGATCACTTCTTATACCCTTGAGAAACTGGAAACAAAGTCAAGGTCTACCAAAGCTCCCTGGACAACCCAGACAAATCCCGTCCATGGTAGCAATGTAGGCTTTGGCTCCATCCTCCCTCATTAGAACTGAGCCTTGATTCACACAGCTGGGACAGAAACAAGCCCAATTTTGGCCAGAGCAGTATGTCTGAATATCTGTATGCTTGCAGCCTTCCTCACTGAAATTATCTTCAGTGTTCTTATTGAAAACAAAATGTGTAAATAGCTTTAGAGCAATCTACTCCCTTGCAATAATCTTGGCATTGCTTTTCACTGAACTAACAATGAGCCTCTGATAATTTATGTGCCTACCAAAGGAACACAAATAAGACACATTTCTTGGTAAATATAATAGACAGGACATTTAATATGCTGTCTTTGTAATTTTCAGGTTTTTTTGGTGCATGTACAATAGAAGATGTTCATTCACAGAAAAATGAGTGTGCTTGCAATAGAAAATCCATGGTTTTTAAAGCTTCTCCTAGTCATTAGCATGTGAAGCTTCATTTTAAAATTAACAAAGCCGTTCCCCAGGGGAAGAATCTTAAGCAGATTAACTGTCCTTATTTTTTGAATCAGATGGTAGCTTTTTGTGTCACAGGGGGACTGTTGATGTTAGCCATAATGGCTGCCCACTTAGACTGAAAATAGAATCTTCATTACATTTTATGAAGTTTTCCAAGAGATGTGCCAGTCATGGTGAATTGATATTGCCCTATCCTGGGTTAGAAAGAGGAAAGGAGAGAGAGAGAGAGAGAGAGAGAGAGAGAGAGAATGGTGAAGAAACTACACCTACACACAGAACAGTTTATGCCTCTGTGGTCAGAGCTTGTCACGTAAATCTTTATTGTATATCTGTGTTATTCTGGACAGAACATTGCCTCAGTATTTGTGGGCTTCTGTTTGCCATGTGCTGGCTCACTCCATTTCCATGCAACATAACCATAATCTGTGTTTGCAGTGGGGAAACCACCTCCAGGATGGCTTTTCTGGTTAGAGAGGCTTGAAGCAAACTTTCAAGATAAACTGCCCAGTGTGCTTTAGGTCAGGTGACCCCTCACAATCACAGAATGGCCACGTTCTGTTTTGTCAGTTCCTACAGGTAAAATCCAGATGGCATCTAACAGTTCCAACCATTCTGGGATTGCACAGGTTTTTAATTTAGAATGGGAAAAATATTGATCCTTGTTTTCTTTTGGGTTTGGTTGAGTGAGGAATTTGGTTTGCACAGTTTTTTGTAAGTTTGTTTTTATAATAGTGTATGATGAATCTGAATCTGAGGGTTTATGTTTTTATGGCTAGTAGGATTTAATTGCAGAATCTGAAGTTTATTTTATAGGAGGACTAATGTGTGAGTTTTGATGTGAAATTTCTTTTTGTTCTAAAGAGTGCTCTTTTTGTTTGTTTTTTAAGCACTGCTAAGATGAGACTTCTGTCGAGGGAAAAACGGAGAGCATAATTTTTGCTTAAAGGCAAGAATATATAATGGCATTTCCCCCCTTTAATCTGAAACCTGGAGAGAAAAACAACAGCATTTTGAAAAAGAGAATGGATAAAGAGGAGTGAGAATAACTGCCAGTGGTGAGATGTTTTCATGACAAGGATAAATAGTAAGGTATGTGGTTAAGGCCTTAAGAAGGGTTAAAGAATAAACCTGATGGGTCCTTGCCTGAGAAGTGTAGAAGACTCAAGTTTATTTTCTCTTTTGGGATGTTGCCAACACAAACTTTGGCAAGATGCTTTGACTAATTCTGGAAAAATCTGGTTTCATTTGGCTTCTTGAATACATCACTGCACTTTTAGAAACAACATTCTGCTGCAGACTAATCCTGAGTCTGTAAAACCACAGCCATTTTTATTTTTTACCCATATCACCCTAAAGCATATCACCCAGAAGTGTTGTTTTGTTTTTTTTTTAGACAGGCTTCAACAGCTCAGCCCCTAACTTAACCTGGCCCACTTGAGCAGCAGAAAGTAGCTTCTCTTCTGCCAAAATTATCGGAGCTGCTTTCACAGCTTGCTTAGACATAACTAGAGTTAACAAAGAACAGTTAGCAGATTAAAAAAAGATAAGCTGTTTTGGAGAAGGCCCTGGGGACATATGTCATGTCTCTAGATGGGACTCATCACCAGTTCTGGTTCCACTATCTAAAGCAACGTGCTGGAAATTTTGTGTTCCAATAGTTTCTAAGTCTTGGTCTAATTCTTGTCTTCTGTTTCCCATTAATAAGTAGGGGCACTTGCCTACTTTATGGGGTCCTACAAGGATAAGCACAAGACTGTGAAGCAGACAGACATTGTATCTTGTAAGAGTGGCTGGAGATGGAATATCAGGCTCCTCTCTCACGTTTGATAGTATTATGAGGACTGCTGGAGCTACAACTCCATACAAGCCAGATGTGAACTTATCAGCCCTGCTGCACATTGACATGGCCAGACCAGCAGCTTCACTGTTAACACTTCTCCTCCCAGTGCTGTTGCCCCGTGCTTGCCAGGACATGTAGTAAGATTACTTTTTTTTAGAGCCTGGATGGCCTGGAAGCAGAATGAAGTTACACTAATGGCAGTGGGTGAGTTCTGGACACTGAAATAAGAGAATGACCAATCCAGATAGACAAGACTTGATTTTATTAATAAAATTTGTATTTTCCTCTTTGAGGTGACAGTTACAAACTTTGGTTCAAAAACAAAAGAAAATATGAACAGCAAGAAGTTGACTTTGAAATCTCACTTTTACATGTATAAACGTGCATAAGAAAATACCAGTTGGAAACGAGCCAGCAGAAACTAGTACTATTTAATTTAACAATTTATAAGAAATAGAAACAAACATTTCTTTTCAAGTCTTACATATATTATGAAAAATAATTACAAAAGGATTTGTGTTGTAAAGCTAAAATGTAATTTCTACTTCCAACTACCTGAATAAAATGTTCAGAGGGAAGGCCAAACCAACCTGTGTTTTTGGTGAGCTTTGAACAGCGAATCGTAAGGGTTTGGGTCAAAGACAGCTCTGTAGGAAGCAGTCCCTGGTATGTTGCTTAGCAACTGTGTAGAATCACATGACCTAGACATATTGCATCCCTGGCCTTCAGGTGGAATAACAGGAAGAAAAATCATTCATATTAATGGGACGGGCAAATATTGTATAGGACCATTCTGTGGAACTTGTAGTATCCAGTTCAGGAAGCAAACGTCATTGCTTACATAAACATCTAAATAAACACTGCAAAACTCCATAAATAACTGTTTAGAATTCAGTTTTTATATTTATGCAGACCAAATAAGCACAATGGAAACAAATCTAGATGAGATTAAAAAAAAAAAAAGCACAACAAAGGAAACCTATATGACTAATTTATTTCACACAGATTTTTTTAACAATTCTCTTACACAGAAGTTTGTTTTTTTCTTACATATTTTCCCCACCCAAAAATATAAACTTGTTTATTTTAGGTATATACAGTTATCTTATGAAATTATGGAATTAGAAAAGAAAATAAGAAGTGTGAGGTATAGCACCATGGAACACAGCACCTTTGAAGATGCTTTCATTATCAAAATTCATTGTCACAGAGTGATATCAGCAGAAAAGAGTTGTTTGAGTGTGCTGCTCAAGATCTTCCAGTTTTGCCACCTTAAGTTTACTGGCAACTTCAAATAACAAAGCTCTTCAACAACAATATATACAAAGGGATTTTATTATTAATCAGAAATGGAATTGGCTTCACTGGCAATTACAGTTTTATTTTTTCAGAATACATACACAGTGTTGACCATGTAGTTTTGTAAATGTAAAATAACAGCCAGATGCAATTCAGAGACACATGCAAGTTTTTGAAATGGACAGAGAAATAACAGTATAGTACTGTACATAGAATAATTACAGTTTATTAAACACTTTCTTAACACCTCTTTGTTGTAATGGAAGGAGCACCATGTCGTTCGTTTTTTACAGCACCAAAGGAATCCAAAGGGGGTGTTCCTGAAGTGAGCCCTATGTTGTCTGTCTGTGCCACAGCATCTTTGCAAAATAAGTTTAAGTCATGTGATTCTGGCCCTACAAGGGCAATGATTACTTTCTAGATAAGACATACATACACAGCAAGACACATTTTCTATGCCATCCTTATTCAAAACTTGCATGTGGCATGAAGTGGGTTGGTAGCACCAAAGTGCAGCATTTTTGTTGATCTGATTTTGTCTTAAGCTTAACCAAGGAAGCAGACAGGACCGACCTCAAATCCAAACTTCTGGTTCTGGTCACCAAAGTCATTGATCATCACATCAACTATGGGCACTTGGTCTATTTTGGGCGTGTTGATTTCAATCACTGTCTTTGCATAGCCCTTTCTTGACTGTTAAAAGAGAAGCAAAAAAAAGCAAATGGTTATAGGTCAATAAGAGCAGTGAGCATGTGCTAGAGATCTTCACAGGTTATCTCTGAAGTGGAGAATTTGTAAGTTATTGCCCCATCAGGCAGCAGATATTGCAACCTCTAAAGTTTATTATGTTTATAAATTGTCTTATGATTTTATTTTAAAAATGTTTTGATTTTAGAAGAATAGGCCGTAGTTTTTTGACTTACTAAAATAGACCTATAAATGAAAAATAATCTAAGACATTTCATCTTTCTTAAAGAATTCTTAGTTCACATCTATACTATTTAATAACTAGTAATATTCCTATAGCAGTGCACATCTTTCTTGTGGAAAAGTCATTAATTAGTTCTGAAAAAGAAAGAGTGTAACTGTCTCACAAAATATTACAGCAGCTGTTTGGACAGGAAAGAGAGTAGTAGTCTGACAGGACTGCCAACTGATGGACTTAGAAGCCAGCTTTGAAGGCACATCCTTGCTGCCCAAAGAAAGCTCTCTAGCTCCTCTACATGTCATGCAGCCAAGTCATCATGTTAGTTATCAGAACTGCACTTCCTTTACATGGTCTCTTGTATTTGCTGAGACCCTTCAGCTGTGCCAGAGTCCTGGAGTTCAGATGAGCATCCAGGTTGACAGATCTGAGGGTTCTCAGTTTACAGAGTTACAACGTTCAGCTCTCTCAGGAGCTCTGCATTCACCCACTGTGGATAACAAAAGTGAAATAAAAATACAAGGCATATAGAAAGGCTGACATGAAGCAGTTTTGTAGTAGACTCTCACTGCTGAGCAGAGGCTCTGCACCTCCTGAGCTACATCTCTGTCTGAGAGTCAGGTGTATCCTGGCACTTTCAGGTCTCTAATTCTGTATCACTGACTTCTCAGAAACTGCCTTCAAAATGCTCCCATATCAACCCCCAAAATAATTAATGAGGCTTCAACTGTCACTTGCTCTTTTGATGTCTTTGTTTCAAAGTGTTGAGTACAAATCATTCTGTTTCTGAAAAGTGGTAACAGCTGTTATGCCCACAGAGACCCTGATGGAGAGGTGATCAGAGAGCTGATGCATGTTTGGACACCTCTGGGGATTTTAGCAAAGCTAAAGGAGGATTTTGAAAAGTAAAATCCATAAACTTCACCTGGCTTTGACTACACAAAATGAGGAAAGGAAATACAAAGTCACATATCAAACTATTAAAATAATTTACTATGTTTGGGTACATACGTATGGCTTATTTAATACATGTTTTTGCTGTATTCACTAAATATTCTGTTTGCATATGCCTTGATGGCCATTCCAGGTTTGTTCCATTTCTGTAGGTTGGCTTATGGTTATTTCTTTTTGGTACGTATGTGAAAATTAAATATGGGACTAGTGTACTGTAGTTAAAAATCTACTAAAAGTCAGTATAGGAAAAGTAAAGTGTTTAGAAAGCTTTTCTCAGAAGAAAGCTATGAAAAATAGATTTGTCTGATTTCTACTTTAAATGACAGGTTGGTTTTGTAAAGGCTCTTTGAGCGTGTACTTACTGCACAGCCGTCGTGAAGAGCTTTGATGTAAGGATTGTTGTCGTAAGACATTTCTTCATCGTTCGATCCTAAGAACCTCAGAGCTTTGTCATAGCTGTCAGACGGGGCGTCATGCCAAGCTACAGACTGGTGACAGTTATAAGTGAAATTTTGTCTGGCAGAGGCACTCAGTAGTTTAAGGAATGTCATTTGGACCATATTAATGGAATTGCCTTCAACATCCAAATAGGAGAGCTGGAAAATACAAGAAGTTAGATGAATATTTATCTTTTTTTTTTTTTTGGTTACAATGCGAGCTAAAATTATTGTTGACAAAAAAGAACCACATAGCTGTTCTTAAAAAAAAAATTAACATATAACATTTTATGGAGTTTTAAAGGTCAATACAGCTATGACTCAGTAAATAGATTTTCATAATGTAGCAATATATTTAGGACAAAAATCCACATATTTTAGCTTCATTCCATTTGGAAAGACAGAGAATTACTCCTATCTTATAGTGTGAAACAGCAGAATCTCTTTGGGAATCTGTTTTTAGTTAATCATAAAGTCATGTCAGCCTGCAGCCTCATCTTTTCATACTCAGTATATTTCCAGTTACTGCACTGGGGTGGAGGATCTGTGCTCCAGCTGCTTTCCTAAGTTCAGTGGTGATGTGTGGTCTATCAGAAGGCAGATCCTCACCATCAGGTGTGCAGGTGACCACTGGGATCACTGTGGGACAACACAGAGCAGGCTTCTGTTGTCCAGTGGTAAGAGGCCACATAACTGCTGTAATATTTAGGGCAAAAAGGCTGGGGGTCTTTTCATTATCTAAATACTTATAAAATTCCTTGGGATCTGCTGATTGCTGATAATGTGCACCTGATTTGTGAATACAGTTATGTTGCAGTGACAACTTACAAGTTTGCCTCGCTTGAATTCACTAAACCAAGATCCTGGATTCTCCTTTGGCCATGATGAAATTCTAACCTGTGCAGTCAAACAGCAGAGACAGAATTATTTAAAACATATATTAACAGATATGAAGGTTTTATATTACTCGGGACAAATTTCACACCATAAATAATAAAATATGGTTCTTTCTGAAATCTCACGTCACTTTAAAGCCCTAAAATAGGATGTTTTCTTTGTATAGAATGCCTTCAAATTAGTGACTTTGCCAGGATCTCAAGGTGATAGTTTATAAAGAGAGTTAGTTCTAATTAAGGGAGACCATTATAATCTGTTAAGAGTCAGGTAAACTGATGCTATGAATTGTTGTTGTGAAGAGAGTCTAAATCACAGTTTTCACTGCTGTTGCTGCTGATAGATCTTTCTCATTTAGGCAAGCTTTTAGAAAGCCTTCCTCTACACCTTGTCCCCCCTCTGATACAGTCTGTAACAGTGAGTAAGGACACTGTTAATACATAGTGTTTTACATCTACTTTGCATAGGTATAAATGAATAGCTATAAATGAACCCACAAGAGAAACACAGTAAGTGTTTTGCTTTTAGGTGACAAATGCTAGATAATGTTCAGTAACTGGCTGCTCAGCTGTGTTGCATTCTGAAAGGCAGTGAAATGTTAGCAAGCAGGTGTATAGATTCCCTGTCTAAGACTGAAAATGGTATTTGTTAACTCTATGCACCATTTTACCACTCCATTCAGAGGTATGCAAATTTAAAAATGTAATTAGAAAGACAGATATATGAAAATGTGACAGTGTAATTATCCTGTTTAGTTTAACATTGCAACAGCACAGTAGGATCTGTCAACAGCCACCTGAAAGCACAGATTGGTACTTACTCCTTCAGATTTCTTATCTGGGTAGATGCAAGTTTCCCCACCTGCTGTGAAATTGCAGTATACTTTGAAAGAGTCTCCAGAACAGCCCTGGTTAGGATCAATCCAATATTCCCCTAAAACAAATGACAAAATATTTGCCTTATATAGTAGTATTGGTATTTGGATGAACTAGGCTTTACTGCTACCCTAATGGTTCTCCAAAGTGTGTAGCAAAGTTATTTATCCTAATAAGAAAGCAACCTTTTCTGCCTTATGATCTGTTGCTGTTGTCATTTATGGAAGACAACACCAGGATCAAAGTTTGTTTTTATTTAGGTTCTCTTGTTTTTGTCTAGTTTGACTTCAAACCGTGGTTCTGTTGCAGGAGACTGCTGAGGTTTGAGAGGAACTGCAGACAGACACCTCGGTCTAGAAAAGGAATGATGGTATATGTGGAACATATATTGCAAGTCTCAAAAATCTGGCCATTTGAGTATTTCAGCCAGAAGGGTGGTGAGCACTCTCCAAAACAGAGCAGAGGCATCCTTAGGCAGAAATAAGCTATGGGTTAGGTCAGAGAGCAAAATCTGGAGTCATTTGCACAGTTATCTACGACAGATTAGTGGGAGGGGGAGACCTTCAGGCTCTGGGTGCCAG